TATAGTTAGATAGTGAAAGCCCAAGCCGTGGAATATGTTTGTGCAGTCACTGTGTTTCTGTATGACATTGCTGTCTTTCAGTAGACTTCAGACATTCTCTTTTAACTTAAAATTTAAGTTCCTGAGTAAACCAGATAAGTTCATGGTAGTATAGTTAATAGGAAAGACATTTAGTAGTAACTACATGCTGTCTGTTGAAGCAGTATTCTTTCTGCTTCTCCAAGACAGGGTACATGCTTTGTGGGTCAGACATTTGAAGTTTGAGGAGCACTTTGTACCACACGGAATACATGCTGTATCCTGAAAGCAGTATGTGATTATATCATCATCTGACAAGTGTCCCAAGTGATTTAAGCAAGATGGACACTGGAGGAGTCCTTTGACAATTGATCATTAAAATAAAAGACCCCCTTTATTGTCAAAAGTTAAGAATGAACAAAATGTGAAATATGATGGCTGTAGGGAAGTACAGAATTGAGTAAAGGTAGTCTGTATTTTGTTTACAGAATCAGCTGCTCACAAAAGGCATGGTGATCCTAAGGGACAAGATCCGGTTTTATGAAGGTAACTTGGATTTTAGCATGGCTGCCTACGTCCGTCACAGGAGTTAGCAAACGCATTCTGGAGGCTGTGTGATGCTTTCCACTATCTTCCCAAGACTATGGATTAGTTTGTATCGATTCATTCCTGCAGTCTGTTGTTGTGTCCTGCCGTGGTGTTCCCATTGGCTTTTCAACAAGGGGAGCTGATTGCCTAGAGCAGCAGCATGGGAGTAAAGGAAGGATTACCTCCAGCATGGACACTTCCTTCTCCTTCAATTATAGTCTGCTCAATGTTAAGGAAAAGTGGAAAAATAGAGTGAGATATCCTAAAAACCAAAAAAGTAAGCACTGAGATCCCAGTTAGTTGAGTGTCTGGCTAAGTCCAAAATAATGCTGTAGGTTGTTTAAGAGTTATTCTGGATTCATGCTTACATAAATGAGGTCAGACACTGTCTCTTTTTTTACAGTCAAAGCTCCATTTGTCTGTCTGCACCTTCTGGAGGTGTCACCTTATGGAAGTAAACATCAAGGATAACCTCCACCCAATGTGTCATTTTACAGTCACCCTCATTTTGTGTCCTATGCTATTGTGCTGCATTTAGATGTGCTGCTAAATATGCCGTTTTGACCTAGATACAGGCATACAAGTTGCACCAGGGGAGGTTTAGATTGGATATTAGGAAAAATTTCTTCACAGAAATGGCTGTCAAGCACTGGAATAGGCTGCCCAGGGAAGTGGTTGAGTCACCATCCCTGGAGGTATTTAAATGACATGTAGATGTGGCACTTAGGGACATGGTTTAGGGGAATAGGCAGTGTTTGTGGTTGGACTTGATGATCTTAAAGGTTTTTTCCAACCTAAATGACTCTAATTCTATATGTCATCAGAGGGTGAAATGATTTCAGAATATCTTCAAGAATTATTGGCCAAGTAAACAGTCTGAAGATCTTTGGAGAGTCTTGAGGCAATTTTAAAGAAATGCGTCTTTCTTTTTCCAAAGCTGCAGTCATAATACCACTTAGTCTAAATATACTGTTTAAGCAGTAGCCTGGAGACAACCGTTTCCATTAATTTCAGCTATCTATAAATCCTAAATGTGACCTTTCATTACTGACAGTACAGTTGATCAGATTAAGATGGTGCTATGGGACCCAGCTTTTCTCATGAAGACAATAGCCCTGAACGCTGCAGAAAGAGAACAATTTCACATTTAAAAAAAAAAAAACAGAACAAAAATGTACCCAAACTTTTCTAAGCTGAACACAGAATTCCTCAGTTATATAAAATAACAGCTTGGAGAGCACAAGGGGAGCTGTAAGGATCTCAAGGCCTTCATAGCTGCTTTGTAAATCACAAAGGAAGTTGGGTTTTAAGTGTCAAATCATCAAATTAGATGCAGAGACTTACCAAAGTCCAACCCCTTTTTCTTCTGGTTTTACTAGCTTGAAAATCAAAAATACTATCTCTGATGTTTGAGATCAAAGCTGAGATGAAAAATTGAAATGTGCGACCACTAAGTGGCTTTCAAATGTAGGAGCATATTTAGCAAATACAAAATTTCCGCATGCTGTTAAGTTTATTGTGGTTTTGAATTTGGCGTATCACTTTGTGGTTTCCCCTTAAAATATGGTCAGAAATGCTGGTAAGGTGAGGATTAAATCCGTCATGTTTTTTTCCAAGTCTGTCCTCGGAAATGTCAGCTCACTAAAACCAGCAAGTTACAGGAGGGTAGCTGTAATTTAGGAATCTCATTCAGAGGCAGAGGTCTTTCTGACAGACAGCTTTCTGTTAGCTTGCTTGGGGAGCTGCTGATGGATGTAAGTTTCCAAGTCTGGAATTTGGGTTTCCTGGCAGCAGAGGCAGCAGCACCCCAGAGTCCATCCTGTAGTCAGTGTCCCCATGGCTCCCAAAACACCCGAGACAAGGATGGGAGCATGGAAATCTTCGGAGCTCCCATTCTGAGCAGGGCTTCATTCCTGGGTCTGCAGCAGCAGTGTTCCTGCCCTCAAATCTCAGGTTGTCCCTCATCCCATGGTTTGAGTTTCCCTGTCCAGTTGGTGTTGAAGTTTTCAAAAGAAAAAAAAGATCACTTCAGAGAACACTTTGGAGGGGTTTTGTCCTGCTGGAGGTTTTGAAAATTTTAGCTTTTGTTTTGAAACTATGATTTTTTTTATTCTTACATTTCTTTCAGGAGTTTCAATTAACTTTTAGAAGCACTGTGAAAAGTACTACATGCATTTTTATGTCATACAAAATTGACTATATTGTGCTTCATTAAAACAACATTTAGAATAATGCAGCTTCCTGGAATCTGGCAAATGCTTATGGTAAATGTAGGGATCTTTGCCTGACAGTAAAACAAACATATTCTTGAAAGGACATGGAAGTCACATTCCTCCGTGTGAAAGGTGCTCATCATCAACAAACCGTAGGAGTTCTTCCACAGCCCCCAGTAAAAGGCCTGCCTGGCGAAAGGCAGTTGACTTTGCAGCCTTTCTGAGCTGCTGTACAGAAATGCATCACTTCACAAAACAAGCTGCCCACAAGATGAAAGGGATGTGTGACAGAAAAGGCATGTTTATCTCAACAGGGTGATTTGACTTCATGCAATTCTAGCAGCAAGATTTGAAAAGGACCAATATTCAGCACCCACATCTGGAGCCAGATTTGTAAGGGCTTAGTTTCCACTTAACCTCAACTTGTGGGCAACTAATTTACTTAACTCTTTTTAAAACTCTGCCCTCAAGGCATAGAGCGGTTGGGCTTCTCCTTCATGGTCGGATTTATAGCTTTGAAACACTTCAGTGTTTCAGACACTAGTATATAGAGGTTATAATGCAACGGTATTTTTTATTATGAGTATTATTATTGTTACTGCTACAGCTGCTAGGAATTTTGGACTTGGTTCCCTGCTGTGTTTCACTAGAACTAATGCAAGACAAATTTTGTAAAAATTGAAACTGAAAAGACCCTTTTCAGTCTTGTGCATGAGTGTGTAGATCAGGGGAACTCCTGCCTGGTGGTGCGGAAACGAAGACCTTGGCATGGTTCACAAGCCAGCAGCTGCAGTATAGCATGGTGATCCACATCTATCACTGAAAGCACTTAAAGTCATCAACCCAAGAGTAATTCAGGAGTTGCAGATGGGCCAGAGCTGGTGCTATTTGTCACGTGCTTAAAAATGCAGGGAGATCAAGTATCCCATAATAAAGATTGGCACTTGCTAACCTGGAGTGTAGATGCTTTCATGCAGAGTTCTTTGTGATGTGTGTGTAATTCTGGGCAAAATGTTCCCTGGCTGAGGCCCTAAGTAATGCTGTAATACAAAAATTAAGAATAGTATGTGATTCTGACACCAATAGTAATATTGATTAATTGCTACTGAATTTGCTTCCCAATAAGTCATATTATCTTGTCTGAATGCCTCATAATCATTGATGTATTTATCTCCATAATACTTGCTGGTGGAGGTGCAGTGGCATTGCTCTCCTATCACAGTTCGGTTAGGGGTAGAGGGATGCTAAAGAGCTTGCCCAAGGTCACACAGGCCATTTTAGGGAACACGGATTTGAAGCCAGCATCCAGCTATTGAGCCAGACTTCCTCTCCCATAGATAGTGGCTCCTGCATTTGCCTCTGTGTTTTACAAAATGTTCTGTGAGGAGCTCTGTGTCCAACTTGGTTGTGGGACCTGGCCAGAGCTTCTCCTGTCTCCACTGTGGAGGCTTCCAGGTGGCTGCAGCTGGGGAGGGAATAGAGAGGGAGGTGGCCTTGCTGCGAGGACCATGGGGACCTCATGTCATAGCAGGTTTTGACTGCATCCTTTGAAAGTTACAGTAAAAAGTAGAGCCGCAACACCATTCTCTTTTTCCATAGAGCTTGTGTGAGATTTTTTATGTAAGTGGAGATACAGGGAAGCTAGGGATCAGTCTGAGGGGATGCTTTGTAGAGGGTCTCCGTGGAGCACAGTTTGCTCTGCTGGCTTACAGCTTAGGGGGCAGAGGGGAGCATGGTGGGGGAGAAATATTCCTGCAGAGAAATCACAGAATCATAGAATCAAAGCATTCTGTGATTCTATGATTTCTCTGCAGGAATATTTCCACATTTAACCTGCTGTGTCCTCCTCCTACTGCTCTCCTCCACAGTCTCGTCCAGTAGGTACTACTGCAAGAAGAGGAGGAGGTAACCTGAGCTATTATTCTTTATTCTTCACAGGTTTTTTCTGAGTAAGTTTTAACCTCAGAGTCTCTGAGTTTGCTAAGAACATTAGATGTGTCATCTGAAAAGACACAAATACTGAATGATCCGATACAGTGAAAGGAATACTAATTCCATACTGGTAATAGTAGCTGTTACATGATTCATCTTTGTGTATAATAGCAGATCCACATTGTTTCCTCTGTGTTTTAGTCTTTGCAGTTAGCCAATTCCAACCTAAATGGTTCACTAGTTTGTTTTGTGTTTTTGCAGGGCAGAAACTACTGGATACCTTAGCTGAAACCTGGGATTTTTTCTTCAGTGATGTCCTGCCCATGCTTCAGGCTATTTTCTATCCTGTGCAGGTGAAAAATTACTCTATTACTATAGAATCTTGCAAAACTGGAAAAAGCAACTTTACTGGTTCATCAACAGATTGATGCAATCCTTAACTCGCTCTCCTTGGGCCAGCCTCCCAGTGCAGCTGTTCTGTATAGTCATGCCATGCAAACAAGTTACTTACGCAAACAGCGGTTTGAAGTGCTTGGGTGAACAAGATGAAGGGGAACTTTGAAAACAGGAGTGGAGTGCAGGGAGGATAGTTAGTCCTTCTGTCAACTTACATTAAAAGTCAAAAAGGGTTATGAATGATAAATTGAAATATGCACACATCGAAATAAGTGGAGCTATGTTGACTTAAATATATACATTTCCTTCTCTGCAATGTGAATTCGTCTCTGAAGTATCTCCACTTTTGAAAAGGAATTGTATTTACGAGGTCCAATTCTGTGCTACTATAAATGAACAGCAGTAGTCCGTGAAGTTAGACCAGTTTACATGAGCACGGAATTTGACTCCAGTAATTTTAAATCCACAATAGGTACTTAGAATCAAAGAATCATAGAATCGTTTAGGTTGGAAAAGACCTTTAAGATCATCCAGTCCAACCATTAACCTAACTACTTGATCTGTTTTGGATGAGGCTCACTCTTCTAACTTAGTGACGGCCACAGGGTGTTGTTTATCGCTTAAGTCCCAAGGAAATCTGTACTAGATAGGAATAAGTGACCTTCTGGAATTGCTCTTAGATGCCTACAGATTTTAGCTGGAGTTTGGTGCCTAAGCATATTTGGGGAAACTTTGGAAACTTTCCCCCATTTTTCCAAGTGGACTTCAATGCCTAAAATGATTGCCCAAATGTTATCGGTATTACCATTTGCATCTGCAGTTAATTACAGGCATGAAATCTGAATTAGTGAAAAGCTGCAACTTCACACAGAATTTGATTCTGAAAGAAGAGCTCTAAAAACATACTGGGCTACTTCACCCATTGACTTGCGTCTTACCAGTAGAAACTTTAGAATGATAGACATAATATGGTATTAAAAACCTATTAGAACACAATGGGAGATTTTTTCTAAGTGCCACAGGCATCCCAAATCCAAGGCATTTGGGAACCTAGAGATATAGGTAGGCTCTCAACCTGATTTTCCTTGCTGACGACTAAATTAGAACTCACTCAGATGTTTTTGAAAATTGCACCAAATAGCCCTTTCACTGTTTTGTTCCTGAGACCTTTGAAAATAATTTAGCAACACAAGTCTCCTCACCATTCAGGTGGAAATAATTGCTTGAATTTTCAAAGGAGCCTGGAGGGGGTAAGAACCCCAAGTCCCATGTAATTTCAAATAGATCTAGGTGCCTGATGTTCTAAAGATACTTTCAAAACCACAGCTGGTGTTTACGTGCTCTTGTAAATTGTATTCGTTGCAACTGAAGCAGATTTGGCCTTCTTTACTTCAGTACAAATAATTAACAAAGTGAAAACAAATGGGTGAGGTGGCGTTAGGCTTTTTTATTCTAAACTAAGGGAAGTCAATATCAGCTGAATACCAGCTCTTCCAGGAGGGTTAGTATTTGGCTGGCAGCATTGAGAACTGCATGCAAGAATATGTATGTACAGCCATATATATCAGAAGAAAAAGCCCTGGTGCTGGGAACAGTTTTACAGCTCCTCATCAGATATAAGGCAGGTGGTGTTGATCTCTGCAGGTAGAGTTAGCGTTGTATTCTTCAGATGAGATTTTTTTTTTTTTCAATGAAAAGTGATGCTTGAACTGCAAAAAGATGTCTTTGAAAATGCAGTATGAAACTTCAGCTCTGCTTCTACCTTATAGTGAAGTCTCCTAAACTGTAGAGAAAAGGAGAATCCACAGGTGGACTGTGTCAAGAATCCTACCATAATTTGAAGACACCATAATTCCTAGCCATTATTCAAAATCTTATGTAATAATGAAAATTAAACCCTTTTTTCAACCCTGCTTTTTTTTTAAACATGATACATTTAATTACTGTTAAAGTACAAAATATTTATACATATTCTGTGCTCAAGTACAATCCTCCACCCCAACCCCTCATCGTCTTCATACACAGTCAGATTCAGCCATTGTCTGCAGTGTTCATTACTGCCAAATCAAATTCACTGTGCAGATTTATAGGCTGTTGTGGGTTCTTTGTTATGTTTCCTCTGCTTTTCATTCAGGTTTACTATTCTTGTAATCCCTCAGAAGTGGAAGAATGAATTTTGACAGGGGATTTTGAAACTCATTTTCACAGTGCTCATAATCCATCTTGTTTTGTTTCTGTTTCTAAGGGGAAGGAGCCCTCCGTTCGGCAGCTGGCTCTTCTGCACTTTAGGAATATAATTACCCTCAACATTAAATTGGAAGATGCATTGTCACGTTCCAGAGCCAGAGTTCCACCTTCTATTATTCAGATGCTGTTAATACTCCAGGTAAATTGGTTCCTTTTCTCAGGCTGTTTTCTTTATCTGTCTTTCTGTACTGCATTGCTGAAGTCTTCTTAAGCAGTCTGTCATTTTGCTCCTTCATTGAAAACTTCTTACCCAGAATGCCAGTGCTTCTGTGCAATTAAATGTGATCCTAATATCTAAAAGTAGCGACTGTAGAGGTTCAGATTTCATGCCTTAAGATCCAGAGGGTCTGAGAGTAAAGATTCATTTTGAAACTGTGGGCCTTGAAATACGAAGTTTTGCAAGCAGACCAGTGTATGTGGTAATAACATGACTTCCATGAAATGCTGTGTGTTGCTGCATTAGCAGTTCTGCATAATGAAGCTTCACACCTGGAGTAGGCAATGAAGTGAATATGTGATTTATGGTTGAATCGTGGTCATATTTGGTTATGGGAACTAAGTTCTATCAAAGCTGTTGATACGAAAACATTAAGACCAGATGGATACTGGTATTAGCCTTCAGTGTTAGACTATTTTTTTGAGTAGTAGTGAGGAGAAACAAAAAGAGGAAATTCCAGGCAAAAGGCAGGTTTGAGATTCCCCCCCCCCCCCCCCCCCACACACACACACACACACTTAATTAAAGAAAAGCATGGGCTTGTGTTGAGGAGAAGGGGGGTAAGGCAGAAGGGAGGGAGAGAGCCAGGAGTGGATTCTCAGGGGGTGAGGAAGTTGAGATTTTCCTGGCTGGTGGGTTTTTTTTTAATAAACAAATAGATTTACAGCAAATGAAAGGATATAGTGTCTCACACCTAAAATGATTCTTTTCATCACCGTAAGTGTTAGTTCTGTGTCTGAAATTGTTTTAAAGAGTAGGATAATCTAAAGGCCAGTGATGAAAATGGAGCAAAGAGTAAGATTCTCTCTGCTGGGTCAAGAAATTGTATTTTACCCCTGCTATCACAGTGTACGTTGTTGGGGTGTATAATGGCATGTTTAACCTAATTTTATCAGAAAAAGGTACTTAATGTGATAGGACTGCCTGCTCGTCCCTTGTCTCCCTTCTCCCTAACCTGCAACTTGCCAAATGCTCCTTGAAACTGCTGGCTGATTGTGACACAATGGCAGCAATATCAGAGATACTAAGATTCCTAGGAGTTTCATGGAAATTAGCGTCTGCAGAGAGGAGAGGAGCCTCAGGGAAAACTGGAGCATGGGCTTAACTGCATAATGAGACATCAAAGAATTCATGTAATTGAACTGTGAACCCAGCTGTGTTAATAGACACCAGAGACTCCACATGAGAGAGTGCCATCACGAAAACCTTAATCACAGGAAGATTGTCTATCAGGCCTTACTTCCTCTTAGATGCAAAGTAAACTGTCCATTCTAAACCAGGCTTCAGCAGTGTCATTGCTAACAGATCTGCTAGCTTTTTTGTGGTTTCTTCTTCAGAGAGTCTGTGCTGGCTATGGGCAAGATTCAGCTTCAAATGAATTCAGTGGTGAGCTGGGAACTGAATAACATCCTGATTTAGAAAGTTTATAGGAGGTGATATGGAGTCACTTGCCAGGATTAGCGCTACAAGGAACAGTTTCTTTGCAAATCTGCTTTCTTCAACAACCAGAGGTGTTAACAAGGTGGATGTCTGTTTAGGGTAAAAGGCCAAATCCATTCTCATTGTAAAACTGTTGATGGAAATCAATAACGAAGTGAGAGGGAGTTTGCCCCTGGGTGTTTGTTTCTGCATATGTTACCTACAGTTTTGTGGTGGGGATGGTGAAGGTCCTTTCTCGGCAATAGCTCTGCCAAACTTGTGGTTTAAAACCTAATGGAAATTGCAGGAAAAGGTCAGATGAGGACCTGGGAACGAGCTGTTTACATGCTTAGCAGTGTTAGTCAATAATTGGATTTCAGAGCAGAGGCTTTTTCCCAAACTCAAATGTCACGTTAAACAAAACCAAATTTTATGTATTTATGGCATAGTAATGGAATTTCCTTGACTTAGATTAACTCAACATGTGAATAGGGCTGGAAGAAAGATAACAATTCAGCTTTTCAAAGAGCACATGGTGGGCTTGTGTGCGTGGATTTCCCAGGCTGAGAGGTGATGTCTTGGTGTGGACATTTGTCTAATCCCTATTTCTGTATACCATGGATATCTCTTCCATAATGAACTCAGTGACACTGGAGCGGACTCCCATGGCTAGAAATTGAGTCTAGTGGTGTCGATTTGGGACCAAGTGTTGAACCTGGTGCTGAATTTCCCCGTTTCTGTCCTTGACAGCCTTGCGCAGCTGCATTACATAATTAAGGAGTGGGTCATGTTCTTCAAGACAGCAGCTGTAATGTCAGCCGAAGGTCACAGGTTCCAAAGGCCCATACTGACATGCACCAGTCTGTCTTGTTAGACTGGATTAAAGCAGCAGAGATTTGGTAACTACTGCAGGGTGCATCTGATATTGCTCGTGTTTTAGCTTGTCATGATGTAGGGGAAGAGCTCTGTCAGTTTGTCAGGAGAAGACTCTTTCTTTATGGAGGGGAAGGGAGGTTTTTTAAAGAGGAAATGGAAGCTGCAGCAATCCTTGGGCTTTATTCAGGAGGTGGGTGCTGATTCGGCAAAGCTCAGTAAGCACACGTTTTACCTGAGCGTGGGTTGGCTTCATTGGCTTCAGCATGTGAGCAATTTCATTGACCTCTGTGAAGTTACTGACCTATTGCAAGTTGTACACATTCCTTGCTTGCTCAGCTGGCTGTGCTCTGGCAAGGAGAATAAAACAGCCCCTGCCAAAGACCTCCTGAATAAAAGGGACTGAAATGAAGTTGAGCCCCTTCATTGTTTGGGTGGTTGATTTTCCTTCTTTGCATCAAATCTTTCATCCTGTCCACAGTAAACTATTTGCTGGAAGTATGCCTGCCAGCCATGCATTTAGTACCGTAGCATATGATACAGCACCCACAGCAGTCCTCTGGCATACAGTGACATGATAGAGGATATATATTGGGACAGAAGGGATCACCAACCTGACACCTCACAATTTGCCCAGGGAGCCAGACGCCTCCATTTCTTTGCATCTAAGACAGCAAAGATATTTTTTAAAAAAGGGGGTGGGGGGCAGGAAAATCTCATACCTTCTCTGTGCGGTCCCTCTTTGAAGGAAAGAAGAACCGCCATTTCTGGGATTAAGCTGTTACAGGTATTGTAATAGCAGGTTGTATATCTGAAGCTTTGTTGTAAGATACCCCTCATTTAAAGGATCAGATATTACTCCTCAGGTTAATTTGGGTTCTCCAAATCCAGTACAGCCACATCTGCATCTCACCAATGCTATAACCTGGACTAATTACAAGCCAGTAATCTATCGAGGAAAGCAGCAGTCCCCCGGAACTGGGGGAAGGAGTGATATTCCCATGCTGTTGAAGTCAGTGGGAGATTTACCATGGCATGGAAGAAGGGCTTTATACCACTCAAACTTTCTGTTGCTGGCATAGCCTGACCCAGTTACAAAGCACAAACGGAAATGTTAATCCTTTGTGGCCACTTACAGGTAACATAAGCTAAAGTGCCTCCAGGATGCTCCTGTTTAACTTTTAGGGCCTTCAAGAGCAGAGTCATGACTGAGGAAGTAAAAGAAGAACTAAAACTGCTTTTGAGCACAGAGAGATGCGCAGGAGCTCACGTAACTACACTGAGTTGTCAGTCTTGCCTCGATGACCTTTCTCTTTGGGTGGAATTAGGAAGCTGGAGGGAGAGGGATAAACAGAAGGAGGCATTAGAAAAGAATTTTCTCCCTTATGCTCTGTGAACCAAAGAGAGCAAAACTACCACTGGAGGATAAGCAATCTGACTTACTTCCCAAAACATGTTGTCAAAGAAGACTTTGCCACTGAAATTGGAACATCTTATCTCCAGGTATCTCTCCTGAGGTCTGAGAAAGTTGGAAGAGGAGAATTAAAGAGTGTTTATCTGCATCTTTTGGTTAACATCAGGATTATTTGAGTTCACAGAATCTCTCTGGGTGACCCGAGGTATTTAAAAACCCTAGAAAAGCATAGCACAATATCTCTTGTGCTGAGGGATGAGGCCTCACTAAACATAAGCTCTGAAGAGAAAAATAAAACCTGTGGTTTCCTTTTTGGCTTCTCTGAGCTTCATTTGAACTCCCTTGCCTGTTGTCTTTCTCTGTAAAGGAAGACAAAATAAATACAGAAAACTGCCCGGTGGGACCTATTTGTTATCTCTGGAAAGTTCCTAAATGTAGGTTCAGCTCCTTGCACTTTAAAGGGGTGGAAAAGCACATTGCAAGAGCTGAAAGCAAGTGTAAAGAGTGCTGATTTTTCCATCTTGGCAGCCACACCGCAAACCGAAGACAGCATAGCAGTTAAAAACAAAAATACCTTTTGCTATCAGTAAACTGCAGGGTCCTGCCTGTGGAATAACAGATTTGCTGTAACTCTGCAATGTGTGTCGACAGGGGTCAATTCTTTATGGCCATAGGGTTTTGAATTTGGTGGTTGCTTTTGAGAGGTTGTTTTACTAAGTCTCTTAGACCTGAAGCACAGGTTGAACAAAGTGGTGTGGGCATGAGGTTTCAATATGCTTTTAATTTCTCTACCTTTTTCCAAATTCCTGGTTTATAAGAAACAAAAAATAGAAACCCATAAATAAATGTATTGTAGACCCTATTTAAATATAAATCATCATCATCAAAAACCTGTTGCTTCCCATGGGTTGTGCATAAATGTGTTTTCTTCCTTCCTGGTGAAAGGGTGGCTTGTCTGTGTTGTTTGCATCAGCCCCATAAGCCTGTAAGGAGTCAGGTAAGAAATCTTACAGCCAGGACACTGCCTGACACAGAGGGAAGAGTTCTTCATTGCTTTGTATTGACACAGGTGAAACTGAGAATCTGGCCCTTGAGATTTATACCTCAGAGTATTTTGTAGAAACAAAGCTTGCTTCTAAGCAATATCCTCTGTCTTACTCTGTCTTATTTATTGTCTCTATCAGCAAGTGCAGTTTGCAGTAACTAAATTGACACA